AGGTAAAATGAGTGATAATTTAGAAAAATTAATCAGTAAAGCAAATACAATAAAAGCAATTTGACATTTGGCAGAAAATAATCCTACTTTGAAAGATACCTTTATTGAAAGTGTCTAATAACTAATTCGTCTAATCCATAGCATTTTTGAATATCAATCCTTAAAGAAAGTACTTTTTAAAACCTTTAATACAGCAACTAAAAATGAAATAATGGAATTATAGAAACAATTCACCTAATTGATGATAATGTATCTCAACAAGATCATTCAACAGAAAGCATTACAAAAAAAGTAAATAAAATGCTTTTTATATATAATCAACATAATGTAGCAGTTAATAATAAAGTTAACTGATGTTGAAAATTGAAATAATTTCCATTTTCTCTTTTTTTTTTTTTTTTTTTTTTTTTTTTTTCTTGTTATATAAATGTGTGCTGCCAAGGAAAACCTGCTATCAGACTTTTACATTTATAAGTTACTAGACACAATCCTTAAAAAATCAAACAAAATAAGTCCAGTAAGCAATAAACTTGAAACCTCAATAACAGGTTTCCTTTGGCAATACTTATATATAGGGTTTTAGTATGGTTATATGATTATATAGAAATCCTAATTTTTATTATCAGTCACAGCATATAATATGAATAATATTAATATTTGCCTTCTTGTAGCCACAGTTGAAAGAATTTATGAAATACTGTTGTAGAATAAAACATTATTCTTTTACTATTAAAAAGTGCAGAGATGAAATATGTACAACTTGCTTACCATTTCAGTGTTCTCAGAAGGAATTTGAACAACTTTATTACATTTCAGATTCAACTCCTAGTGAAGACCTTCATTATAAATCATTCGAAGAATTATATAACACTACTACAACAGAGGAATATAGACCCTAGCTTAAAGATGTTAAATTACGAACTACCAAGTCAGATAAAGCTAATATTAATTAAAATTTTTTTGTTAATGTCAAAATTTGTCTAAATGTCTTAATGTCTAAATTAAATTCCATTTATTTTTTAATAATAATTTTTACAAATAACAATGTCAAAATTGTCTATATTCAACTTGTCTAAATGTTAATATAATTTT